TGAAAGTTAGATATGTCATAATAAAGCATTAAGACACTCCAGGCAGTGTATTTCTGGCTGATTATATACCTCCAGTGGTATTATAAGGCATAGGCAGAGGACTGAGTGATTTTAAACACCTGACAAGTGCAATAATCCCAAAGAACTCCATGGCCTGGAGCATCTTACTGCTGTTATGAAACAGAATTTATAAATAAAAATAAGAAGAACAGCCAAACCTATTTATTTATGGGGCATTATGACTCTGGTATGACATCACTAAGGACCAATCACTAACCTTGGTTTACGTTGACTGCTAACAGTCATTTCCTAGTGTGAACAATAAACCCAAATACTTCTAAGAAAACATTAAACAGCTTTGAGTTTAATGTGTACAAAGGAAATGTAAAGGTGGGTTAGTTGCAATTCAGACACATGATCTGTTTAATATATACAGAAAGTCTCCCTGTAGGCCAATTATAAAGCCTTCCAAACAATGCTGACTATTAATTCACATGGTATTTATAACTCAAGTGAGTTAAATTTTAGCATCTCATAGAAGTGGTCGGTAAGGAGGAGAAAGAGATTTCCTTAGGACAATAACCAGATATGAATTGTGTTTTATCCTGTGAAGAAAATTTTAAACAAACCTTTTAACAGTAAGGAGGTTATGGGAGATGTAAGAATGCTGCTTGTAGATTATTTTTTCATTAGGAGTAAAAATTCCTGATAAAGAGGTCTACCTCTGTAAGCTTAATATGTATAGCTTGTAAAACTGTAGCTGTAAGAATATGCTGCAGCATATAGTGCTGTCATCAAAGCTATAGTTGAACAAATACTATGGTAAAGAGCACTTATAAAGAAGTGGTTTGTTGTTTTTTTTTTTCTGTTGCATATGTAAAAATAGAACTCCAGTAATGTCATCACTAACGCGTTTAACTGCTGGACAGTAAAAAACTTCCCTATGATTCACAACCCGTGAATTCTTGTGCATAAGCTCAAGCTGTATTTGATTCTGTGGCAGGGGAAATGTGTTCAAGTAAAGAGGATCACCCTTAAAATAAACATCGGATAGCTGTGATAGGAGTAAAGGTATGGAAAAGGTTCTGCACTACTGTGCTGCAAATAATGTATATACTGAAGAAAGATAAATCCTTGTGCGATGGATGACTGCTGAGGAGGAATTTTTCAGGTGGACTGTAATTCACAGTATCTCAGAAGGCTGAGGTTGATAGATCTCTGGAGATCACTTAGTCCCCCTCAAGTAGGGTCACCTAGAGGTGGTTACCAGGATTTGTCCCCGGTTGGGTGCTGGATATCTCCAAAGACACAAAGATTCCACAGCCTTTGTGGGCAATCTCCAAAAGTGTTTAACCTCCATTGTTTGACCAACCTCTGAAAGTGTTTTCTTATGTTTAGATGGAATCTCTTGTATTTCAGTTAGTGTCTATTGTTTCTTTTCCTTCCACAAAATACCACTGAGTCTGGTTCGATCTTCTCTATTACTCCCGCATGCCAGGTATTTATATACATTGATAAGATCCCCAAACCTTCTCTTCTCCATGCTGAAGCTGAACACCTCAGTAAGTCCATATCTTTCTTGTACTGGAAAGACCAAGAACGGACCTAACAACCCCAGATATTTCTCACCAAGTGTGAGTAGGAGTGAAGGATCACCTTGCTCAATCTGCTGGCAATGCTCCCAATGCTGCCTGTGGCATTGGTGGCCTTCTTTGCTACAATGGATCATTTTTTGCTTATATTTAACTTGTTGAATATCAAGTTTCTGGGACTATTTATTCCCTCACCTTTACTGGGGTCCAGGTGAGACTGATCTCTCCTGTTGTTCCCTGTATTCTTCTGTCTTAAAAATAGGAGTGATACTTGTTTTCTTCAAGTCCTCAGGAACACTCAATGAATGACCTCTCAAAGAGAATAGAGAGTAGGTTTGCCACTTAGTGGCAGGTCAGATCCTTCAGAACTTCTGGGTGCAGCCCTTCGGTTCCCATGGACTTTTGCCACTTGGTAGAGGTGCTTTTGCCCCATTTGATTTACTGTATCCCATCTGCTCCTAGCAATCCTTAGTTCTTCAAGAGTATCCCATGGTTGTAAAAGCCACAGCCCTCTCGTCAGCTCCAGCCATGTAACCAGTTGTTGACCCACAGGATCTCTACACTCCTCCTCAAGCTGATTATCCTCACTGGCAGGACTGCGGAGAAAACCTCCTGGACCCCCATGCCCTTCACCCTCATGAGCACATAGATATTTAAGACTGTAGCAGCAAGAAACTTAAGATGCATATGAAGAACAGTGTACCATATGTTAGTTATGTTCTTCCCCACTTAGAGTGTGGATACCTGTTTCTTTGAGTCAGATTCAGTAAGTGTAACAGAAGAGCCAGTATAATACACCATGTGTATGGCCTGGAGAATGCTTTGAATAAGATCTGGCTCTCCAGGCCAACCAGAGCTTAATAACAGTATTTTATGCTTGCAGAGCAAGTGGCTGTCACTCACATATTGCATAACACACACAAGGAGATGTGCAAATGCACAGAATACAGACTTTAATAAAGTTTGCATTCTGTGATTACAATTAAAAAATACCCACTACTTGTCTACTGCCTGAAATATCAAATGCTGGTTTTTTTTCTAAAATTTCTGGTTAGCCATTTGCCTATAAATGATTTGTGTAGATATGCAACACTGAATTCATTCAAATAATGTGCTAGTGCAGCTTGCAATCTAGGACCAGAGGAACTTCTATGCCAGAGCTGACCAAAGGTTACAATCCTGTCTCTAAATGTAGCCAGTACCAGATGCTTCAGAGGAAAGTGTAGCACCTCTAAAAGGAGTGCAATGGAGAAGCTTTCCCATGAGGAAAGATCTCTCCCTAATTCTGTAATTTCTAGTGTATATTTTGTACTATTAAACATTGAGAATGTTCACTCACTTGGGATTTTTCTATGACAATTACTTATGTAGTGAAAAGTTACCAGAGAATTTTTCCTATTGACAGAAATAATAATTTTAATTTTAGCCTGGTAAGCCATTTTTTTTCTCTGGTCTTTACTGCCATGAGTTCCTCAGGAGAATTTTGACTTTCATCAAAAAAGTTATAGATTATTAAAACTTCTTAAAATCTACTGTAAAAATACTTCACCTCTGCTCCATGCATGTGCTGTAATTCAAAATAGAAAACAAACAAAATTCACAGATTACAGATAATATTCCTATCAATTTGTCACAACTCATAGAATAACAGAATTTATACTAAAAAGACCATCAAACCTCACTTGATAGCATGGAGGTGTTCAGAAAATCTTGTTTCCATGGAAATTCCATATTCTTCATGAAATTTTCTGGTGCTTAGAGCCTGGTTCATTAGCAGTCCATGGGTAAAGATGAGATATTTAATGCATCTTCCCATAATTGTGAATCATCTGAATTTAAAATTCAAGTGGGTAGAAGGCTTTTTGCATTATTTTACCCTGCTCAGCACTGGAGCTTCAATGTCTCACGGAGATCACAGACTCGTAGAATCATTAAAGAAAAGACCTCTAAGATCATTGATTCCAACCATTAACCCAGCACCACCATGTTCACTGCTAAACCATATCCCCAAGTGCCACATCCACGTGCCTTTTGAACACTTCCAGGGATGTGCCATTATTTTGTTGAGTAGGTAGAGGCAGTAAATGCAGGTGCCTGTTCCACCCAGCCACTGGTTTTTTCCTAGTCCCATATGTAACTGTGCAGGGCTGTTTTAGTGTGGATATGGTCGTGTTGTCCTCTTACATTAGTGTCTCCCACTGTATAGATACACACATGCGCACACAATTTCCTTAGCTTTTTCCAGCCCATATCATCCAATTAATTGCTTCACAAGCTACATTCTTCTTAATGAGAGTGGGCCACAAGGACAGGATGCTGGTAAGCCTTTCTGCTCTGAAAGTCCATCACTCCTGCAGCATACCAGTTCAGTGCTGTGAAATAATCCCTGGCTCTTGTTTTACCTTTCCCTTGGGGTACCTGCTCCACTGAATGACCCCATCGTGCTCGGTGCATTGAGATTTTGAAACTAGCTGCTAACTACTGTGGATGCATTTCCTGACCTTACTGGTGGGAATTGAACCAAAGTCTCTCAAGTGCTGTAGGATCTAATTAATATGCATCTTATTCCAGGAAAGACTCATTACTTTATAGATATTTATATAAGGGGTATGTCTGCTATAATGGTTAATAACTATGAATAAAGTTTCATTTCTGATAGAGGAATAAAGCTTTTGTTTAGATATGGATTTTTAGTTTTATTAAAAAAAATTAGAAAGTATGATTATGATAATTGGGTGAGAGTTCCAAATGGTCACATGAAGTTTTTTATTCTTGCCTTGAGTAGTAGCTGGAATCAACTCTCGTTCCTCACCTAAAATTTAAGAGAAGCGGGGAGGAACTAATTTAAGAATTAATTCAAAGTATTAGCAAAGGATCCAGAGAGAGTCAGTGCTGGATACAGAAAACTTCTAGTGTACAAGAAAGTGAACTGAGTTAAGGGTGGCAATATTCTGAAAAAATTAAGAATAAGCAAAGTCCTGTCCTTTTTTAACTAGAAAAGGCATGCTATAGTAACAAAGGCTACCTATTGATCTGGTCTCCACTATTTTTTGGAAGGTGTAACTGTTTGTTTAGAACCTTTTAAAAACTACTCTGGCACATAGATTTTATTGAGGTTAAACTTATTGGCAACACCGCAAGGCCTTCATTTCCAGAAGGAATTAGCTTGTGCTGCAGAGGAGACAAACCCCAGCAGCTGGGCAGACCAGACACCTGCATTTACTCCCTCTCAGGTTTTGCTCAACAGGTAGAAATGACAAATTAACTTCAATGCTTCAAAATCACATAGTTCCAAAGCAAGTTTGGAGGCTCAGGATTTTTGGACAACCAAATTTTAATGCTTAGTTGTGCTGCATGTAATGATTCAGTCTTGTTCTTCTCAAGCCAATAGAACTGAAATACTGTAAATTGATGAAATATGCTTTTATTGTAACATTGTAAGGCAGACATAAATTACTGTATTTTAACATGTATATGACTTCTATTCAGACTTCTATGAAGTTAAGTTTTAATGAGCTGTAGAAAATAGTAAGAATCAAAGACAATGCAAATGTGGGATGCAGTCCTGCAATGCTTAGTGCTTGGGACATCTCTAAGAGTTACCAGCATTGTCATCTTACTGCAATTACAGGGCTTTGTTTACTACTGCATGAAAGATATGTTTTTGGCCACTTCAGAGGGCAGTGATAATTCTTCCCTATCTCATTCCACAGTCCACAGGAGTAGAAGGAGTCCCAAGGGAGTCTTGTGCAATTTTTCACCATCTTTATCCTTATGGAGCATCATAGCCCACATAAAAAGATGATGTGCAAATTTGTGAGGCACTCCAAGGCAGCTGTGAACATATGTATGAAGATATGTTAATTTTGAAATGACAATTGCTTTAACAATCACTCTACAGCCCTTAGAGTTATCCAAAGGAGGGAGGGCTTAGGAAGAAGAAAATAAACCAGGGAAATAAGTGAATGTTAATGGAGATTTTTATTTTAAAAAATGGATATCTTACAAAAAATAATTTTTGCAGTAAGATGACATTCTTGCAGTGCATGGTTTGATGAGGTAAGAGAGACTTGAGACTATTGGTTCTATAGGTACAAGTTAGTTGTATACTTTGGAAGTGAGGCTTGGAGCACTGTACCTCTGTGCATGCTAAAAGCCAGCAGTTCTGCTTTTTTGGCAAGCCATGTTGATACTAAATTCGTGTTCTGGGGATGATTGTCCCAGGGGTTCTGTGGCTTTTACTGAGAAATGGCAGCCTGGGCTGCTGAAGACTTTCTTTTCTTCACAATCTCTTGTTCTTGCTTGGTCATACTCCAGTTTGCACTGAAACCATTTCCTATCTCTGTTCAAGTTAATCCACAACAACAAGAAGAGTAAATGGAAGTGAATTAGATCACTTACGATATCTGCATGGTGGTGAAGTTGTGGGTAGCCCCTCCCATGCTCATCCCAATACACACACATATATGTTTGTATTTGCATGGGACACTCAATGGGTTTATGTGTCAGGGCTCTCTTAAGAAGCATCGCAGGGTTGAATGAACAGATATGACAGTCCGTACCATCGAAGCCACCCTGGTTTCTAGATTTATGTTACCTGCACTGAGCTATTGGAAATCTATAGCTGCATGCTGTGAGGTAAAGCCAGCAACATAGGAATTGTCCTATTGGGTCAACTTAAGGTCCCTCTAGTCCAGTTTCCTGCTTCTGACAGTGGTTGCCCAGTCAGAAAAAGGCAGTATGTTGCTACCCCTTCTACTTCTCATTTTCCAACAGTTTTCAGCTCAGGGTATTTCCTGAGCTGGATATTTCTTGTAGTAACCTCCACAGAATGTCTTCTCTGTGCACTTTCCCAGTCCTCCCTTGTAACCTCTAAACATCCCTCGCAGCCCTTGCAGTGAGTTTCGCGTTTTCTCACCAGTGCTTAAACTTTCCATCCCTAGCTGGATTTCGTTTGTTGTCACCTATATTTCTGAGAATTGGTGAACAACTGATGCCATGGGAATCAATGCCCTTTCACTCTTTTCCACCTGCTTGTGGATAGACTTGTGCATTCTCTCTTAGTTCTCTTTTCCAAGCTGAGATGTTCTTGCATATGCAGTTCTTTGCACTGATGTGCATTATCCTTACTGGTCTTTTCTGTTTGACCATATTCTCCTAAAATGAAACCAGAGCTGCAGAATTATTAAAAACATAGGTGAATCATACATTTATTCAAAGGCACGGTGCTTAGTTCTGTTTTATTTCTCTTCCTTCCTAAAAATTCTTAAAAAGTTTATTTGCTTCCTTAATTGATAATGAGCAGTGACCTAATTCTCTCTTGGATCTATCATATATGCTTATTGCTGAACCACAATTGTCAGTTCAGAACCTTATGCATATTTGAAGTTAAGACTTTTTCTGGTGCATGTAGCTTTTCTTTATTCAGAGTGAATTTCAGCTACTGTGATATTGACCAGCCACACAGCTTTGTAAGGTCCTCCCTGCAATTCTTGGCAGTCATTACCCTCAACACCCTGTATTTTGTAAATGCAGAACTGTGTTTTGCCTGGATAGAGGTAGTATAGAAGATATTTAGAGAAAATATGTTGTTCTTGTCTACAAGCCTTTCTTCATAGATGTCAAATAACTTTGACTAGTTGCAGCCTACGCTTTACAGGTGAGAAACTGCAGGATGGAATTGCCCATGTTCGCTCAATTATTTATTGAGTGAAAAATCTTTCTGTGGCCAGTCAGTACCTATGTGGTGGCTGGGTGGCACCTGGTATTTACATTGCAGGATTATGTATTTGTTATAAAAACAAAGCCTTGGGTATTTTCAGCATGAAAGCACTGTTTCAACCTTTTCTGTAATACTTATTTCTAGCACTTCCAATCATTTTAGTCAGTTGGGGATGACATCACTTGTTTAACAACAACAAACTGGAGACTGTCCTGGGATTATAACAAAAACCCATATACGGAAAGGAGGGGGAAATTTCACCCCGAGGTGTTAAACGTTGATTAGATCTCATTACAGAGTGCCGTAAGTGAAATGATTCGGAGCTCTGCATTTCTCAGTCTTCTATACGCTGCAATTCTGTGTCACAAAACCTGCTAGATTTGCATAGGGACTAATACAACCACTACTGAGAGTGAAGCCTTAAAGGGACATTACATACCAAGGTAACCCGGACCCCATGCCCCCGGAGGCACATCTCCAAGCCCTTCCCCACCCAGCCACAGGCTCCCCCAGTTCCACAAAACTATCCAAGCTTCACTTGGACTCCCTACGGCGACTCATAGCGCAGTCCCACCCGCTGCTCCTCTTCTTCACTCTTGCCTCGAAGTTCCAGTCCTGTCTCTTCTTTCTTCTCCGACGGCTTCTGCCAAGGCAGGAGGACACAGTTGAGCCTGAGAAACACCAGCTCCTCCCCAAGAAGGAAACCCGGTCCCTACACCCCCAGAGGGAGATCTCCAAGCCACTACCCACCCACAGGCCCCCCCAGCTCCACAAACCCCTCCAAACTTCACTTGGTCTCACCAGAGCGACGCAGTCCCATCCGCTGCTGGGAGCCGGGCCCTCTGGGCAAAGGCAGCTGGGCAGGCAAAGCAGTGGCCAAAGAGGCTGCACCCCTGCTTACAGGGGGCTCCGGCCGCTGCTTGGAGCACAAAGTGCCCGGGACTCCAGGGCACTGGCCCCGACTTACAGGGCAGCCCTGGGCCCAAAGGCTCGCGGAGGCTCCTTCTCTCCGCTTCGGGGGCACCTGACCCGCTCCCCGCTAACGGGGCGGTCGCCCCGCACAGGCTGCCAGCTGAGGGAGCACAAAGGCTCCCAGACCCGGACCCTGCTTACAGGCGGGTTCACACCCAGGGAGCCACGGAGCTCGGCCTTCCCCCGAGGACAGGGAGGGCACACGCCCAGCCCCACGCCTGTGAAAGGGTGGGGACCCCACGGGACACCCGCCTGGTTACAGAGGGTCCCTCCAACCGCCCGCCGGGCACGGGGGACGCACAAAGCCCCACTTACAGGGCCGCCCCCGAGGCCCGGCACTCCCAACAGTGGCCTGACGGCCTAAGGCCGGGGGGGGGGGTGGGGATCACGCTGGCACATCACCAGCAGGACAGGCAGCCCCGCAGCGCAGGCACACGCCCAGGCCCTGGCTACAGGCGGGTCACGGTGCCTGCACCACCACTAACGGGCTTCGCTCTGTCCTGGGGAAGAAGGGGCAAGGCTGGGCCCTGTCTCCACCCGTGGGTTCAGAGGGCACCCCCCGGTTGCTGCACAGAGCCCCTCTTTCCCTCCTGGGAAGTCTAAGCTACACTAGCCTCACTTTTGCTACGGGGGATAAAACACAAGCTCACTTGCTCACTCACACCGACAAACACAAAAACACAAAGGGGGAACGTCCCAGAAGAGGGAGCAGGCTCTGTGCAGCCAACGCGTGGGGAGCCATCCCTCCCTCTGGGCAGGAGAGCAGAGCCTCAGCCCTGCCCCGGGCTCTGCAGAGGCCAGAGGGACCTCAGCACACTGAGGGGCTTCACAACTGGCCCAGCGATCAAGGCCGTGACACGCCCCAGCTACAGGGGGTCACTCTGGCCAGGGGCCATAAGCAGGCACAAAGGTGCCAGGGGGAAAAGCCCTGCCCTGCTTACAGGGTGGGCTGGGGGGCGGGAAAAGCCCTGCCCTGCTTACAGGGTGGGCTGGGGGGCGGGAAAAGCCCTGCCCTGCTTACAGGGTGGGCTGGGGGGCGGGAAAAGCCCTGCCCTGCTTACAGGGTGGGCTGGGGGGCGGGAAAAGCCCTGCCCTGCTTACAGGGCGGGCTGGGGGTCAGGAAAAGCCCTGCCCTGCTTACAGGGCGGGCTGGGGGTCAGGAAAAGCCCTGCCCTGCTTACAGGGCGGGCTGGGGGTCAGGAAAAGCCCTGCCCTGCTTACAGGGTGGGCTGGGGGTCGGGAAAAGCCCTGCCCTGCTTACAGGGCGGGCTGGGGATCGGGAGAGCTCCGTTTCTCCCCTCGGGTGCGGAGATTGGGGCTCTCACCCTCCTTACAGGGTTGCCCCTCTCTCCGGGCAGCCAAAGGAGCGCCATGGCCAAAGGCCAGCAAAGCAAAGCAAAGACCCAGCCCTGCTTACAGGGAGGTCGCCCAGCGCAAAGCCAGCAGGGCAGCCTGAAGGTGCCCGCCGGACTCTTACGGATCCCTGCCCGGGGGGTGCCCGGGAGGTGCCTTTGCCCAGAGGGTCTCTGTCGTGCCCCCTCTTGAGCTCGACGCTGCTGTTCCTCTCCTTGGCTCTTGCCTCGCTGGTCCACTCTTGAGCTCGACGCTGCTGCTCCTCTTCTTCGCTCTTGCCTCGAAGTTCCAGTCCTGTCTCTTCTTTCTTCTCCGACGGCTTCTGCCAAGGCAGGAGGACACAGTTGAGCCTGAGAAACACCAGCTCCTCCCCAAGAAGGAAACCCGGTCCCTACACCCCCAGAGGGAGATCTCCAGCCACTACCCACCCACAGGCCCCCCCAGCTCCACAAACCCCTCCAAACTTCACTTGGTCTCACCAGAGCGACGCAGTCCCATCCGCTGCTGGGAGCCGGGCCCTCTGGGCAAAGGCAGCTGGGCATGCAAGGCAGTGGCCAAAGAGGCTGCCCCCTGCTTACAGGGGGCTCCGGCCGCTGCCTGGAGCGCAAAGTGCCCGGGACTCCAGGGCACTGGCCCCGACTTACAGGGCAGCCCTGGGCCCAAAGGCCGCGGAGGCTCCTCTCTCTCCGCTCCCCGCTAACGGGGCGGTCGCCCCGCACAGGCTGCCAGCTGAGGGAGCACAAAGGCTCCCAGACCCGGACCCTGCTTACAGGCGGGGTCACACCCAGGGAGCCACGGAGCTCGGCCTTCCCCCGAGGACAGGGAGGGCACACGCCCAGCCCCACGCCTGTGAAAGGGTGGGGACCCCACGGGACACCCGCCTGGTTACAGAGGGTCCCTCCAACCGCCCGCCGGGCACGGGGGACACACAAAGCCCCACTTACAGGGCCGCCCCCGAGGCCCGGCACTCCCAACAGTGGCCTGACGGCCTAAGGCCGGGGGGGGATCACGCTGGCACAGCACCAGCAGGACAGGCAGCCCCGCAGCGCAGGCACACGCCCAGGCCCTGGCTACAGGCGGGTCACGGTGCCTGCACCACCACTAACGGGCTTCGCTCTGTCCTGGGGAAGAAGGGGCAAGGCTGGGCCTGTCTCTACCCGTGGGTTCAGAGGGCACCCCCCGGTTGCTGCACAGAGCCCCTCTTTCCCTCCTGGGAAGTCTAAGCTACACTAGCCTCACTTTTGCTACGGGGGGTAAAACACAAGCTCACTTGCTCACTCACACCGACAAACACAAAAACACAAAGGGGGAACGTCCCAGAAGAGGGAGCAGGTGCTGTGCAGCCAACGCGTGGGGAGCCATCCCTCCCTCTGGGCAGGAGAGCAGAGCCTCAGCCCTGCCCCGGGCTCTGCAGAGGCCAGAGGGGCCTCAGCACACGGAGGGGCTTCACAACAGGTCCAGGGACCAAGGCCGTGACACGCCCCAGCTACAGGGGGCCACTCTGGCCAGGGGCCATAAGCAGGCACAAAGGTGCCAGGGGGAAAAGCCCTGCCCTGCTTACAGGGCGGGCTGGGGGTCAGCAAAAGCCCTGCCCTGCTTACAGGGCGGGCTGGGGGTCAGCAAAAGCCCTGCCCTGCTTACAGGGCGGGCTGAGGGTCAGCAAAAGCCCTGTCCTGCTTACAGGGCGGGCTGGGGGTCAGAAAAAGCCCTGCCCTGCTTACAGGGCGGGCTGGGGGTCAGCAAAAGCCCTGCCCTGCTTACAGGGCGGGCTGGGGGTCAGAAAAAGCCCTGCCCTGCTTACAGGGCGGGCTGGGGATAGGGAGAGCTCCGTTTCCCCCCTTGGGTGAGGAGATGGGGGCTCTCACCCTCCTTACAGGGTTGCCCCTCTCTCCAGGCAGCCAAAGGAGCGCCATGGCCCAAGGCCAGCAAAGCAAAGCAAAGCAAAGACCCAGCCCTGCTTACAGGGAGGTCGCCCAGCGCAAAGCCAGCCGGGGCACCCTGAAGGTGCCCGCCGGACTCTTACGGATCCCTGCCCGGGGGGGGCCAGGGAGGTGCATTTGCCCAGAGGGTCCCTGTCGTGCCCCCTCTTGAGCTCGACGCTGCTGCTCCTCTTCTTCGCTCTTGCCTCAAAGTTTCACTGCTGTCTCTTCTTTCTTCTCCGACGGCTTCTGCCAAGGCAGGAGGACACAATTGAGCCTGAGAAACACCAGCTCCTCCCCAAGAAGGAAACCCGGTCCCTACACCCCCAGAGGGAGATCTCCAAGCCACTACCCACCCACAGGCCCCCCCAGCTCCACAAACCCCTCCAAACTTCACTTGGTCTCACCAGAGCGACGCAGTCCCATCCGCTGCTGGGAGCCGGGCCCTCTGGGCAAAGGCAGCTGGGCATGCAAGGCAGTGGCCAAAGAGGCTGCACCCCCGCTTACAGGGGGCTCCGGCCGCTGCCTGGAGCGCAAAGTGCCCGGGACTCCAGGGCACTGGCCCCGACTTACAGGGCAGCCCTGGGCCCAAAGGCCCGCGGAGGCTCCTTCGCTCCGCTTCGGGGGCACCTGACCCACTCCCCGCTAACGGGGCGGTCGCCCCGCACAGGCTGCCAGCTGAGGGAGCACAAAGGCTCCCAGACCCGGACCCTGCTTACAGGCGGGTTCACACCCAGGGAGCCACGGAGCTCGGCCTTCCCCCAAGGACAGGGAGGGCACACGCCCAGCCCCACGCCTGTGAAAGGGTGGGGACCCCACGGGACACCCGCCTGGTTACAGGGGGTCCCTCCAACCGCCCGCCGGGCACGGGGGACGCACAAAGCCCCACTTACAGGGCCGCCCCCGAGGCCCGGCACTCCCAACAGTGGCCTGACGGCCTAAGGCCGGGGGGGGGATCACGCTGGCACATCACCAGCAGGACAGGCAGCCCCGCAGCGCAGGCACACGCCCAGGCCCTGGCTACAGGCGGGTCACGGTGCCTGCACCACCACTAACGGGCTTCGCTCTGTCCTGGGGAAGAAGGGGCAAGGCTGGGCCTGTCTCCACCCGTGGGTTCAGAGGGCACCCCCCGGTTGTTGCACAGAGCCCCTCTTTCCCTCCTGGGAAGTCTAAGCTACACTAGCCTCACTTTTGCTACGGGGGATAAAACACAAGCTCACTTGCTCACTCACACCGACAAACACAAAAACACAAAGGGGGCACGTCCCAGAAGAGGGAGCAGGTTCTGTGCAGCCAACGCGTGGGGAGCCCATCCCTCCCTCTGGGCAGGAGAGCAGAGCCTCAGCCCTGCCCCGGGCTCTGCAGAGGCCACAGGGGCCTCAGCACACTCAGGGGCTTCACAGCTGGCCCAGAGACCAAGGCTGTGACACACCCAATCTATAGGGGCTCACTGTGGCCAGGGGCCACAAGCAGGCACAAAGGTGCCAGGGGAAAAGCCCTGCCCTGCTTACAGGGTGGGCTGGGGATCGGGAAAAGCCCTGCCCTGCTTACAGGGTGGGCTGGGGATCGGGAAAAGCCCTGCCCTGCTTACAGGGCGGGCTGGGGGTCAGGAAAAGCCCTGCCCTGCTTACAGGGCGGGCTGGGGGTCAGGAAAAGCCCTGCCCTGCTTACAGGGTGGGCTGGGGGTCAGGAAAAGCCCTGCCCTGCTTACAGGGCGGGCTGGGGGGTCAGGAAAAGCCCTGCCCTGCTTACAGGGCAGGCTGGGGGTCAGGAAAAGCCCTGCCCTGCTTACAGGGCGGGCTGGGGGTCAGGAAAAGCCCTGCCCTGCTTACAGGGCGGGGCTGGGGGTCGGGAAAAGCCCTACCCTGCTTACAGGGTGGGCTGGGGGGCGGGAAAAGCCCTGCCCTGCTTACAGGGTGGGCTGGGGGGCGGGAAAAGCCCTGCCCTGCTTACAGGGTGGGCTGGGGGTTCGGGAGAGCTCCGTTTCCCCCCGCGGGTGCGGAGACGGGGGCTCTCACCCTCCTTACAGGGTTGCCCCTCTCTCCGGGCAGCCAAAGGAGCGCCATGGCCAAAGGCCAGCAAAGCAAAGCAAAGACCCAGCCCTGCTTACAGGGAGGTCGCCCAGCGCAAAGCCAGCCGGGGCACCCTGAAGGTGCCCGCCGGACTCTTACGGATCCCTGCCCGGGGGGGCCAGGGAGGTGCATTTGCCCAGAGGGTCCCTGTCGTGCCCCCTCTTGAGCTCGACGCTGCTGCTCCTCTTCTTCGCTCTTGCCTCAAAGTTCCACTGCTGTCTCTTCTTTCTTCTCCGACGGCTTCTGCCAAGGCAGGAGGACACAATTGAGCCTGAGAAACACCAGCTCCTCCCCTACACCCCCAGAGGGAGATCTCCAAGCCACTACCCACCCACAGGCCCCCCCAGCTCCACAAACCCCTCCAAACTTCACTTGGTCTCACCAGAGCGACGCAGTCCCATCCGCTGCTGGGAGCCGGGCCCTCTGGGCAAAGGCAGCTGGGCAGGCAAAGCAGTGGCCAAAGAGGCTGCACCCCTGCTTACAGGGGGCTCCGGCCGCTGCTTGGAGCACAAAGTGCCCGGGACTCCAGGGCACTGGCCCCGACTTACAGGGCAGCCCTGGGCCCAAAGGCTCGCGGAGGCTCCTTCTCTCCGCTTCGGGGGCACCTGACCCGCTCCCCGCTAACGGGGCGGTCGCCCCGCACAGGCT